AGTTTAAGAGAACCCTAATGGTTCTCATGCAGAGCCACAGACAGCCAAGGTAGTAAATGTGTAGTAAAAACCCTTCTGACTTCTCAGTTTGTCTCATTGCTCCTCTTTGTGTCTACACTCCAAAAAACTAAATGGATGTTCTTCTGCGGTGTTTTTCTTACTACAATGCATAAGATTCCTCTTCCCTGGTCTCACACATAGCTTAGACACCATCTCCTCAGATGAGGCAGGGTAAGTGCACTCTTCTCCAACCCCCAGGCGTAGAGTTCTGGAGAAATGCATTACTTTGCCTATTTTAGCCTTAGGCGTTGCTTTCCACTTTGACTGTGTTGATACTATATTCGCATCTTTATTGATCTTCTAGAGAAGAATAACTTGTTTAGAACTTGCATTCTAAATTATGATTTAGCACAATTCTAAATCTAAAGCCATGCTGTTGTTAGTCACAGAACACAGCTAGCTGCTGGCTTAACTGTTCCTTCAGGTTCCCCTTCATAAGACTCTTTTCTGAATGTAACTATAGGCATGTAGAGAATTCTGATTCTTTTTGGGATGTTTTTGTAAAATTGACTCTGGTGTAGGGAATAAATCAGAACTTTCAATCTGCCATATACTGTCCTTGCTCTTAACCCATAGGTCTGGATGATAAAAAGCCACAGCTTTAACAGAAAGTATTTTCAACTGTTCTCCTTCACACAGCAGCTCTATGAACAGAAAAACTATATCTAAAAATCATAGAAACACAAACTCACCTACTAGATATGGTATCCTATGACATGTTAATGTTGCCTAAAAAGCATAAAGTTGGTGGTAACCAGATTTAATGTACCACTGACTCTTGAAATGTTTTACTTTTCATGCTATTTTAAAACTAATGTTTATTATGTGCAATACCTAAGATACTGTTACTAAAGTAACTTTACTTCATGATACAACAAAAAGAATTTACTAAAGTTTGCTATAAATTCAAGCATGAGATTTTTGTAATACTTATGTATAATATCACTTAGTGGAAGAATATATTTTGGCTCCCTGTAGTATCTGAACATGAGTTTATATAAGTTTTCACTTTATATCACTCAGGTAGTCTGAAGAGAACACATGAAGAGGAGGAGGATTTTGGAAACATGCAAGTGGCAGCTGCACAGAACGGCTGACTCTGAGCACTGTCACACAAATGTGAATGTGTCACACGGGTGTGAATTTCTGTTTAGAAAGGAGAAGATCCTAGTGATGATAATGTAAAGTGGTAAAAACACAAATAGTTTCTTTTCAATTATATGTTGCTTCCAGACATGTTTCTCTGCAACTTGTTGAGCAACACTTTAAGATGTTGAACTTCTTCAGTAGATGGCGCTGGTGGGTGATGGGTTTGCTTTAAAATAACAAAACAAAAAACACTTTATGGTTTTATTGTAAACCAAGAATTTTGGACTTGCAAAAAGGTATTATTGCAATAATGCACTTTTCATACTTGAAGTTTATTTGTATGATATAAAGTTATTACTTTAAACAAAATGCAAGTTAGGGGGATTTGTTTATAATTTTTGGATAATTTATAACAAACAAATTTCCTAATGTTTCCTAAAAGCTCATTTTGTGTTATATATATTACATTTAAAGTAATTTTACAGTTAAATTTTCTGATGGAGCCTCTTACAGAAACAGTAACAAAATGTAGAACTCTTTCACATTTTTTAATATAATTCAGCAACTGAATTACCATTTTTTTAACTTCTTTGTCCCTTATTTTTAAATCATGATTTTAGCCAACTATCCTACTTTACTAATTTAATTAATACTTCCTTTCCAATTGCCTTCCTTATTGTAAACAAGAAAAAAAAAGTTGTAATGATGAAAGAGGTCTTATTTATTCAAAAATAAGGATAGTGTTATATTTCCACCTGCTGTTTTTATTGTTTGTTTAAGCCAAATGTTGACTTGGTCTTTACAGAGTTGCTTAGCCCTTTTAACTTTTGTCCAAGATGGTTCAAAGTAGACTTTTAAGAAACCAAACCAATGTAGCACTGCTTCTTCAATATGAAACCCCCAAAAGAAAAGTGCCTTGCATTAACCAATTAAATCCTCATGACCTCTAAATTAGATAGTAGTATAAAGCTATTAACATTTTTTGTAATTTTTTTTGTTTTTAAACCATAAATTAAACTAAATCTGTGAAGCTTGAAGAAAGTAAATTATTTGGAATAATATGAGACATTTACTTCCTTTCATGTTGTCTTGCTTCTGTGAGGTTCTTGACTGCTTTGAAAATTCATTGGATAAAGCAGTTTGTGGGTGGCTTCAGGGTTTTGTAAATTACTGTTTTAATTTGTTCTTAAATTAATTCAAATTTACCCCATAATTTGCAAAGTCACTTTATGGCTCTTTAGTTTTCCATGATTTTATCTATTTGTATAAAAGTTGTTCTACAAAAACCATTTTGCTATTTTAAGTGTGATGTGCAGAAGAGAGAAGTGTTTTAGCCTTTTGTGTTTGGTGACTTTAGGGTAGCACAGACACAGCTCCTTGTAGCTCTGTCCTCTCTCAAGGTGCTTTACTGCTGGGAATGATGTCTACATTTCCAGGGTACTGTGAGGCACGGTGTGAGATAGCGTGTTATTTTCTTTCTTTGCTCTCCATTCTTATGGTGTTACAGTACAGAGAAGGCTCCGTCCTACAACAGTGGGAGCCGAATGTAAACCAGAAGTACTATTAACTAGACTTAATTTCTCTTTGGATTTCGCATTCCACCCTAAAACCAGCATTGTGATCACTGTTCTCTTGTGTCACTGGTATGGCAGGCTAGGAGTCAAGATTATATTGGGTGTTCAAAATTCCTGTGTACACATCATCACTGGAAAGGTCAACAGAGATCTCTCACAGTCCTATGATTCATTGAACAGAAATTGTACTTAAAGTAATCTCCATAAAAATGATTTTTCAAAATGAGACATTTGAAATTATTTTTTTAAGTTTCATAAAAATACATATTCTATCTCTTTAAGAGTTTGGCCAGAATTACAGAATAGGTTGTTGATAGTCATTTATACCTGGTAATTTGTCATTTTCCTAACCAGTCATTTTTATGTTTTCACATAAAGTGCCTATCCAGCACAATATACTGGAGACAGCCTCAGATATTAGAGACTGCTATCACCTTGAGCACAGTTGATGTGAACAAATGAGGTTTGTTCTTTCATAAGAAGCCTGTATTTACTAAGTAGCTGTCTTAGGTTCCATTTCCAGTGATGTTTTGTACCAGTCAGCTATGATAAACTTAACCAATCATGTCTTATTCTCTAGACAAACTGAATGATACATGAATGTTCACCCAGTTTCAACATTAATATGTAATCTGGGTTCAGAATTAAGATTTTTATCAAAATATAGGGAAACCTCATTTCCCTTTTTGAAAGTTTTGAGACAGATACTGAACTTTTGGAGTGGGGTATCTTCTCTTATTTTAACTGGTTCATGTTAATTTCTTGTCTATTATTGTACCAACTCTGTAGTAGGAATGTTCAAGTGTGATAGCTTTGCTACCAACTTTGAATCACTTGTAGAGCAGAATATTCATTTGCAAGGGTATGGGGTTGTGCTTAATCTCAGTCTAGAAGTAATGTCAGAAATGCTAAGCATGTCCTTTGTAAGAAAACTAAGGTTCCTAATTGTTTAATTACTATAATTCAAATTAATTAGAAGTATTTAAGTGCAATCTTGAATTATGAAGTTGAGATGTATATATTAGGATCTCAACTTGATGTAAAGTAAATGAGCAGTTACCTGACGGATTTTTTTTTTATTAAATAACTGGTTTAACCCATAATCCTAAAGCATAGCTTCACTTCAGTATTTACATTATTTTTGTCCATTCAACAACACTCCAATAAGGAAATGATAGGAAATAGCTGAGACTTACTCAAGGATTTTATTTATTTTTTTTAATTAGGAAGATAAGTTTCTAGAGTCTTGAGTGCTGGATATTCTTTGTCTTTCCCATTCATGGCAGCTAAAACAAAACAAAAAAAATCACTCAAAATATTCAGGTTTACATGTTAAGCTCTCTCACAGGGAGCAGCCATACCTCACAGTTTAAAGTGTTTTCTCAATCAGTCACATGATACTGACATGTAATTGCAATTTACTATGCAGCAAAAAATGATTCAAGAATAACATACAGTGTCTAGTTACCTCTGTACAGGCAATTGCTTACGTCACTCTGCTTTTAACGTTTGTACTCAGATAAAATGCTTCTGTATGTATAGGAATGTCACAGATGCAAGATGCTGCTAGCCTGGGCACAAAGTATTAAAATTATTTTGTGAAGACTGGTGGTTGTATTAAAACTGCTGTGCTATTGTACATCAACAAATGATTGAGAAGCTCCCTCATACTCCTTTAGGCCTCAAAACGTCTTAGCCTTCTGGGTAAAAGTTGCCCAGCTTTACTCCCACAAATTAAGTGTGATGAATATTTAATATTGAAACTGTTTTCAGTTGGTGACACAATGCAACTGTTTCTGTAAAGGAGGATTTAAGAGAAGACCTCAAAACCCCATGGTATTATTGAAACACTAACATAAATGGTTTTACCTCAGAGTCTAATGGTAAGATACAGAATACGATATTCAGTTTTCCCTTGGGGGCAGGCTTATTTAACATGGGTAAAACTTCATGAAAACTATTTTCACTAGTGATAGGTCACTTAGTTCACTGAACCAACTGTCAGAGGTAAAATCTGTCCCTCTACAGTAAAAGTATTTCTATTCTGGAAAGTCAACTAATGACTAGAGGGAAATCCAAATCCAATGGAAATAACCCCAAAATACATAAAACTGCGCTGTTATGCGCCATTTCTTAACCTCAAAGACTCCAGCCTATTGTGGTGATGCATGCCTGTAATACAAGCTCTTGGTTCTTGTACTACATAGTAAGTTCCTGCTAGCCTGGGTTACAGGTTGCCCTGTCTCAAGAAACAAGAAAAACACAAGATTCTAATGAGACTATTCATATAAACAAGTTTAATGTAAATAACATGGAATACAAAAATGATTAGAACCATTGTTAAAAAGTGTCTAATTCTACCTTTAAAAATCATTAAAATAAATAAAGCAGGACAATGATCAGAATAATACCATTATAATCATATAAATAGAAAAGCTACTTTTTTTAAGGATGGAACAAAGACGGTACCACACTTTTTTTTTTTTTTTTTTGGCAGCTCAAAAGCTTCAGATGCCCATGATATGGAAACCAGGGTGCTCACCCACTGATGAAAGAACCGTGGGTCTCTAGACCTGCCCTTGGGAATTCTGACATCACTTGACAGATGAGACAGGTGGTGTGGTGTCTGCACAGAACTGTACCAACACTTAGTAAAATAGTTATTTCAGCTGTTGTACCTTGTCCAAGTATGTGGAGTATTAGGATCAGCAATGTTTAGATGATCTAGTTATAACAATAGATGTGTCCAACTCCCTATAATGTGAGAAATGATGCACCCTTAAGTCTATTTAGGTAAATGAGGCAAAGATAATTTCATGTGATAAAAGCCTTATTCAGTATATATACATACATTTAAAAATGAGCAGCACAGAGCAGATACAACTCTTTACCACCCTTACTCTTGACTACTTCAGAAATGAAGACAAACTTTAGAAAAATACAATGCAAGAAAAGATTCAAGTTGAAAATATATTCCTTTGGTTAAAAATCACCCCTTTATGATCATGTGTATTCTTGTGACGCAGAGCAGTCGCAGCAGCACAGGCATGCTCTTGTGTCACTGCTACGGTTGCTTCCAGTCTAGAAGGAATGGAGCTCACTTGGCTGCAGCAACAGATGAACAGGAAAGCCCCGGAGCATTATCTTGACTGTGTTCTTTACTTTAGGTACCTCCGACACATGTAATTTTCTTCAGACACTGTATAGCCAAACTTTTGGTAGAAGCCAACGTTTTGTGGTAGACATTCAAGGGTGATCTTGTAACAGTTCAGCTTCTTGCTTAGCAAAGTCAGAGTTGATAATAACCTGAAATTTTGAAAAGGGAAGTGTGGGAGACAGTATAACCAAAATGGGCCTTGATGGTGACACAGATTAGTGTTATACAAATAAAAGTAGCATTTATTAGTATTCCCTTACATATACAAATTAAGTTGATAAGCATTTAAATTCCAGAAGCATTTTTATTTTGTTTCAAACAGCGGTTCCCAGCCTATTAATAACTAACTCAGCCTATACCTCTTTTTTATTATGGGAGGAGGGGTACAAGTCCAGCATGAATGGAGGTCAGAAAAGGACAATTTAGTGTAGTTTTCTCCTGTAGATGGGCTCTGCAAATCCAACTCAGGCTTATCCTGCAAGTGCAGTCACCCTCCCCCCCATCTTGCCAGCCTCTAAACCTTTTTATTATTAATAAATTGTAACAATTTATGATGTGCTGAAGAGATGATTTTCTAGAGGACTAGTGTTCAGTTCCCAGTACCCATATAGCTGCTAACTGGATCTCCACTTGCAGGTGATCTGTTACCCTCTTGTTATCCTCTTCTGGCTTCCTGACCTCTACAGGCATCAGACATGCAAGTGATTCACAGATATATCCAGGCAAAATAACCTATATGCATAAAATTTTTACAAAAATTCACACAAAGGCTACAAAGCTGGCTTAGCATTAAGTTAAGAACATTGGCTGCTCTTGGACCTGACTCCTGATTTGATTCCCAGCACCCACATGGTAGCTCACAATCATTTGTTACTCTTGTCTCAGGGCATCTGAGGGCACCAGGAACACATGTGGTGTAGAGATATATATGCAGGTCAAATACCCACTCAAGTAAAATAATTTTTTAAAAAAGAATTTACGTATGAGCCTAGGTATAGTGAGTGGCACACACTTGTAATCTCATTGAGAGTCAGGGCCTGCATTATTTTTATGAAAGGCCTCAAGCTGGCTGTGGTGGCACACCCAAAGGTGAAATAAAGCAGGAAGGTGCGAGATTGAAGGTCATCGTTTTCTACAGCAACATGAGACCATAAATCAAAAGACAAACCCCAAAATACCTTGTTTCAGGGGCTGGGGATGTAGCTCAGTGATGACGGTTGCTTAGCATGCAGAACGCCCTGAGTTCCCATCTAACACTGTAAGAGGTTGCACATTAAGGTACCTTTGTTCTAAGTCTACTTCAACTATACACTTGCTATGTTCACATAAAATGAGTAATAGCTATAGTTTTGAGTTATATAGCCTTGGCTGGACATGGGCATGCCACCATGCCAAGCTTCTTTTTAATGACAATGTAAATCAGATAAACTCAAGATTAGTCTGAATAATATTGTAGACATACTATTCAGAAACCGTCTTTCAAAGCCCAAGGAATCAAAATCCTGCATTAAATATATGATCTAAGCTGGGCTGTGGGGCGCACACCTTTAATCTTAGCACACAGTAGGCAGAGGCAGGTGGATCACTGAGTTCAGGCCAGCCTGGTCTACAACCAGGGCTACACAGAGAAACCCTGGTCCCAAAAACTGAAAAGAAAGCAAGTGATCTAGCTGCTCTAAGAGATTAAAAACTCCAAAGGTGCTAACTAAAGGGTTTTCTCCTGTATATTTAGACAGATCCTGTCATACAGCCCACGCTAGCCTTGAACTTGATGTGATCTTCCTGACTCAGTTTCCTGTGTGCCAATTTTATAGCTAGATACCACCAGCACATCTGCCTTTTATGTTTTAATAAACAATTATCATTTTTGAAAAACAAAACTTTCTAAGATTTTAGTTAAATGGATTGGAGGAATAGTAAATGCTGATATGTAGCACAAATTCTAATTGATCTTAGTAAAACTTAGATATTAGGGGGTGAAAACTGAGAGATCAGAAAAGCAGAGTAGACAGCCACTCTACCAATGCTCATACTGAAGAGGCAATCCTGTCTCTATGAATCCTCAGACTGAATCCTCAAGATTGCATCTGAGCTCCTGTCTCGTCCCACATTGTATTCCTCTCAGTCCAGCCACATCCTTTCCCGTCTCCACCTCCTTAGTGCTGGGACTGAAGGCATGTGACTCCCATACTTGGATTAAAGGTGTGAGCCAATATTGCCTGGCTGTTGCTCTTTGATACTGGGTCAGTCACTATAGCCCAGGGAGGCCTTGAACTCATAGAGATCCTTCTGCCTCTGCCTCCCAAGTGCTGGGATTAAAGGTGTGTGCCACCACTGCCTGGCTTCTATGGCTTGGCTCTGCACTGCGATCTTTAGCCAAGCTTTATTTATTAGATTACAAACAAAATATCACTATACTGATAGTTCATACAGTCAAGTGTTACAAATACCTAGAATACTATCTGATACATACTTGAGAAGACTCCGATTATATTTAAAGGGAGATTCTGCTTATAACTTGGCTATAAACCTATACAAATATTAAACATTCCCTTTGATTTTAATCTGACATAGGCACTGGGTACTCACTGTAACTTGTAACTGCTCAAGTCTGAAAATGCTAGTATTAAAAGTTAAAGAGGTTACTTTTTATAAGCACTGTTTTCCACTACTCCAGAGGCTGAGACGGGAGGGTCACAAGTTCATAGCGTCAACTTAATGAGACACTTGTCTCAAAAAGAAAAAGCTAGGCAAGGTACACACCTTTAATATCAGCACTAAGGAGGCAGAGGCAGGCAGATCTCTGAGTTAGAGACTAACCTGGTCTACAGAGCGAATTCCAGGACAACAAAGGCTATACAGAGAAACCCTATCTTGAAAAAACAAAACAGTGTAGAGGGGGTGCTACTAGAAACAATGCAATTCAGTTACTTGTTACTCTTGATAAACAGAATATGTTTTCAGTTCTCAAATTCTGGGGTGAAACTAGTAACACTTTTTAATTTTTCATTAAACTCAGTCTAAGATACAGAGTGAGAATGAGTTCAGAATAAATGAAGATCAGAAATAATCAGGAAAATCTTATGAAATAAGTTTCTTGGCAAGAGACCAAACTGGGACAGGCCATCCAGTCTGCCGGGGTTATGTATACTTACAGTTTGCCGAGCTGCTTCCCTCTGCATGCATCACTAACAACGACGTCTTCTACTCTCCCTCTCTGCAAGCAAGCACAGTTGGACAAGATGAACCTTCAGCCTGTTTTCCACTAAGCTAGCAAGTAAGAGTTACAATTCCAGTCTTTATTATAGCTCCAATCCCAATCACCATAATGTAATCTTGTCATAAAGATGGTATATCCAGCTTGTTGCTTAATAACAATTTACCAATTTCAAGTGCAGAAACCAAAACCAATAATCCTACAGAGTGCTTTATTTAGTTTTTGTTTTGGGGGACAGGGTTTCTCTGCAGCTCTGGCTGTCCTGGAACTCACCAGGCTGGCCTGCCTTTGTCTCCTAGTGCTGGGACTACAGGTGAGCACCCTCACATTTCTGTATGAGTAAGTGTGCGAGAGTGTGTGTGTGTGTGTGTGTGTGTGTGTGTGTGTGTAGGTCAGACTACAACTTAGAACTGTTGCCTCCTTCCACTGTGTGGGTCTCAGGGATGGAACCTTGGGTGATTAGGATCAGTGGCAAGTACCTTCACCCCTTGAGCCATCTCACTGGCTCATCTGATTGCATTATAACTCACAGAAACATCAGAAAAGTGTCTTCTACTAAAGAATTCCAGCAATGAAAAATTATGGAAAAACTGATTTTGCTAATGAAGCTTCCAAGTTGGTTTCATTAGAAATCATCTGTGCATTTTGCTCATAGACATTAATGTGAGCACATACCTTAGCACACGAATGGATAAATTTATGTTCTATTATCAGAGTTGCCGTAGCAACAATTTGTCCTAGGGTCACATCTTCCACAACTGTAACATAGTAATCCCCAGACTTCTTCATATGCTCAAAAGATTCTGTGGAAATGTCAAAAAAAAAATGTGTTAGATAGTGGACATTCTATTTTATTAAATTCAAGAAAAATACCAGGCTTGCCTGACTTCATCTTTAAATATTAAGGCTGTTTTCCCACAGGGCTTTAGTTTCCACTTTTTTTTTTTAAAGACAAAGCAAGTGAAGTAGACTGAACATGAGATATTTATTTATTTGTTTGTATGTTTATGGAGACAGGGTGTCACCATGTTGCTCTGGCAATTCTAAAACTCACTGTGTAGACCAGACTGGTTTCAAAGAAGAGACCCATCTGCCTGCTTCTGCCTCCAAGCTCTGGAAATAAAAGGGAACACCACTACACCTGGCTAGTTTAAACTTATAAAAGTACTTTATTTATTTAAAATGCCAAGGAGCAGAAATATCAGCAATCAGCACTGAGTGGTCCATACATTTAAAGTCAGCTGTTATTAGAGCATGGAGAGAGAGCTTGCCCTCTGTGCCGGAAACACATATAATCTGCTAGCAAAGTTAAAACTCGGGAATATTTTAGATGAACAACACTGTATGACAGATAAATTGTACATGTTGCTGTCTCTGTGACTAATTAAAATGTCAATATCTGCCAATTTAATTTATATTTATTTAAAACTAACACTCGCCAGGCGGTGGTGGCGCACGCCTTTAATCCCAGCACTCGGGAGGCAGAGGCAGGCGGATCTGTGGGAGTTCGAGGCCAGCCTGGTCTACAAGAACTAGTTCCGGGATAGGCACCAAAGCTACAGAGAAACCCTGTCTCGAAAAAAACAAAAAAAAATAAAATAAAATAAAAAAAAATAAAACTAACACTCAAAAATATTCAAGGAACAAAACTGCAGGGTTTTACAAGAGCCTTTTATATCCACAATCCATACATAGTCTTGGCTTCAAAATATTTTTGACTAAACAGTTTTCCATTTGTTTTTCCAGTGTTTCATGATTACATATTTGTTCTTTTAGAAACAGGATCTTTGTTTGCTTTGAAAGCATCTTACAAAGATGACACAGATACGTCCCCACTTAAGCAGTTTTTCCCAAGTTGTACAACAAGTAGAAGCAAAGCTACATTCACAAATAATGTTTAACACTTTAAACTGCTGGAAAACGACAGTTCTCATCTAACCTGATATGTATGCAAACCCAAAGTTTGTTTATTTTTTGGATTTGGTTATGTTTTTCAAGACAGGGTTTCTCTGTAGCTTTGGAAGCTGTCCTGGAACTAGCTCTTGTAGACCAGGCTGGCCTTGAACTCACAGAGATCTGCCTGCCTCTGCTTCTTGAGTGCTGAGATTAAAGGCGTGTGCCACCACTGCCCAGCTAAACCCAGAAGTTTAAAAGTTTAATTTGATAATGAAATTACTGTGCTTAACATAATCACATGGAAGGAGATAACTACAGTAAAAGGAAAATGAAGTGGTTCCCTAGTAATCACCAAGTCATTGCAAACATTTGCATTCTATGAATGTGGATGGCTAGTTCATAACCCTCAGCTCTTTGAATGACTGGGCACTGGACAGCATGCTAACCATTCAGACAAGGTACTCTGTGGTACTTACTCATGAACTGCTCGGGGCTGACGACGCCAGTCTCTGTCAACTGACCCAGTACCTTAAAAAAACCTAGTTTTAAAACATTTCAAGTCAAGAGAAAAGTAAAAGAAAGATTAAAATATGAAAAGAAGCAAAATGTTCACTGGGTTAAAGGAAATTACTTTTTCAAAATGCCATAATCATGTTTCCATTATAATCTTTTTTTTTTTTTTGGGGGGGGGGGTTTCGAGACAGGGTTTCTCTGTGGCTTTGGAGCCTGTCCTGGAACTAGCTCTTGTAGACCAGGCTGGTCTTGAACTCACAGAGATCCGCCTGCCTCTGCCTCCCGAGTGCTGGGATTAAAGGCGTGTGCCACCACCGCCCGGCTTCCATTATAATCTTAATCAAATTTCCCGCAGACCCTGTTGCGTCACGTACATAGATAACACTGTAAGACATGTTTGTACTTGCACCTATTTTTTTACAATCAGAATAGCAAATAACAGCTTTCAACAATATCTGCCCGCATAAAACTAGAATTGTGCAGACCTTAATATCAGTAATTACAGAACCTGCATATACACTTGTTCATTGCTATTTAAGTTTTTTTAAAAAGGGATACTGCATTTTCCTCAATACTTAAAGTGCAAGATTCTCACCTCCACCACATATCATTTGTAAGCTAACGTGCAACTCACAGAACACTGTTGAGACAACTTTATAAATTTCTAATTGTACTAATGCTAATGTAGCTGGGGCATGGTGGTGCACACCTTTAATCCCAGCACTCAGGAGGCAGAGGCAGGCGAATCTCTGTGAGTTCAAGGCCGGCCTGGTCTACAAAGTGAGTTCTAGAACAGCCAGGACTAACAAAACAAAACAAAACAGAAACACTAATGATAATGCTAAAAGTACATTTAAAACTTTGAGTCTTCATTTTTCTACATGCAGTAATTCTGACCGAAGTTACTTTCTTCAAATACCCATGAAGAAGAAAATAGTGAGGTAAAATGTTGATTATTTTTTTATTACCAAAGTTCCAGAAAATTATTTTGGTTAATTTAGATATTAAAGAATTAGGGACTGGAGAGATAGCTCAGGAGTTGAGAGCACTGGCTGTTCTTCCAAAGGACCTATGTTCAATTCCCAGTGCCTACGTAGCAGCTCAAAACTGTAACTCCAGTCCCAGGGGACCTTGACATTCTCACAGACATAAATGCAGGCAAAATACTAATGCACATGTAAATAAATAAATCTTTAAAAAATTATATTGTCCTTCAATTTGTCCAAGGAATGTTATTTCTGACTGTCTAGCTTCTTGAAGAAAAACTCTTACATGTGTTTATACATTATAACTTCATTTTTGTTTTTGAGACATCTTTTTGTATTTAGTTATTTTAAATACATTATAATATCTGGCCTCCATGATACATACCCATTACAAGTGAGTGCTCCAGTCATTTTAAGTACAAAATCAAGTACTGTTCTTTTATTTTTTTTTAAGATTTTATTTATTAAGTATACAGTGTTCTGCCTGCATGTATGCCTGCTGGCCAGAAGAGTGCACCAGATCCCATTATAGATGGTTGAGAACCACCAAGTGGATGCTGAGAATTGATCTCCAAACCTCTGGAAGTGCTCTTAACCTCTGAGCCATCTCTCCAGCCCCTCAAGTACTGTACTAAGTTAGCATCATGCTTATGAAAAATGCATCAGTTTCTAGTCAGATTTTGCAAACTAAAGTTGGAGCAATACCTTTATTCAAGTCTGCAGTACAAAGAGGCCTCAAAACCAAGCCTTCTCCAGGATTCTTTGGAGAGATGGCTGGAGAAAATGTGGCTGTATTCTGACTCCAGTCCACTTCTTCAAGCAGACTTGGGTCAAACATAGGCGTTTCATCGGGTTTCATCTTTCCAGTAAAATCTAAAATAAAATTTCAAATGTTAAGAGGCTTTATTAGTCTAAAAAAAAGTATGCTTGATAAGAAAGTTAATTTCATCACATTAAATGAATTTTATAACACTATATGAGTTATTTTACTTTAGCTACCTAGAATCTACAATAATTTTACTGTCAGATGCAAAATGGATTGCCATTAGGGGTGAAAATAATGGATGAAATCAAAAACAAAACTTTAAAACTCCATTTCCCAGAAGGTCCCTGAAGACATTTTATCCTTGTGGGCTGGTGCTACTAGTGTAGTGGTTCTCAACCTGTGGGGTAGGGGTGGGGGCTGTCAAATGACTGATTATTGGGACCACATACCAGATATCCTGCATACCAAAGATTTCCATTATGGTAACAGCGAAATTACAGCTATGAAGTAGCAACAAAGATAATTCTATAGGTGAGTGTCCCCACAACACAAGGAACTGAATTAAATATCCCTGCATCAGGGAGTGTGAGAACCACTGCTCTCTAGTAGAACACCGACGTCTTGTGGACCCTCGTGTTTGTACAACTGCAATCTTGCATCTTAGTGCTAGGCTCCCCATTATTCGGCATCCCCATCAATAATGACTCACTTGAGCATGTGACCTGTTTGTTTTATATGAACGACGAAAACCGTAACTGGGGAATTATTCAAATTACTTCATTATTCTCTGCATTCTTAGCCATGACAGATACTGAGTGTCTGCATTTTGTTTTCATGACGGCTTATGACGGCTTTCTTTTGAAAAGCCTGTGTTAGCTGCTTCTAAACAGTTTAAGACTAACCTGTGGGTTTTTGTTTGTTTTTTTCATCCTTTGCAACAGACATAGTGGTGTATGCTTGTAATACCAGAACTTCAGGCACTGAAAGAAGGGTTTTAGACTAGTCTGGGTACACTGTGGGTACTGCCTCAAAACACACATGACTAATGTGATATTGAAACTCTGTCTCAGGAAAAAAAAATTATGAAGTCATAATAAATTTAACCAGTTACTAGTTTCAGTTTCCTGTACATTTAACTAGATGGTCCTAATCTGTGAATAATCACAGATATGTAATATTAATTTGGAAGTACTTTATAATTCTTAAATAAGCAATAAAAGATGTATCCTTATTTATCCCCAGGATAAATAAACAAACCAGGAAGTAGACAGGAACTTACTCCTGGGCGAACAGAAATAATAAGGCAGAGACGGCGGCACAGGCCACCAGTGAGCCCTGCAGCATCTACACCACTAATTCTGCTCCACAGTAGGACGTCTGTCACCTTGTCAACTACTAGACCAGCAGAGCTGAATCCCCGCTCTGTTGTCAACTACTAGACCAGCAGAGCTGAATCCCCACTCTGTTGTCAACTACTAGACCAGCAGAGCTGAATCCCCGCTCTGTTGTCAACTAGACCGGCTGAGCTGAATCCCCGCTCTTTGTCAACTACTAGACCAGCAGAGCTGAATCCCCGCACTCTGTTGTACCAGAGTCAGAACATCACTTGCAATCTCTAGTTTGGAAATGAGAATTTCAGACTAATCAAATGTATAAAAGCATTCTTGATAGAAATAACCCATTGTCCAGGCACCAAGAAATGACTATCGTGTTCTTTCAATATGCTGTTTACAGGGGCTAGAGAGATGGCTCAGAGGTTGGGAGCACTGGCTGCTCTTCCAGAGGTCCTGAGTTCAATTCCCAGCAACCACATGGGGGCTCACAACCATCTGTACTGAGATCTGGCGCCCTCCTCTGGCCTGCGGGCATACATTGAGGCAGAATGTTGTATACATAATAAATAAATAAATAAATAAATCTTTAAAAAAAAAAACAAAAAAAATATGCTGTTTACAAAACAAGCAGCGACATTTGGGTTCACTTGAACTCTCTTCAACTAGTAAAATCCTGTGGTAGCCAGAGAAGGGGAAGATGTTGGGAAGGGAAAGCAAGATGTGATTGACACCAGATTCCCTGAAGAATTTTAAAGAACTAAATGGGTTATTAATAATTGATTCCCAGAAGGGCAGTGGTGGCGCACTCTTTTAATACCAGTACTTAGGGACGAGGTCAGCCTGATCTACAGAGTGAGTTCCAGGGCAGCTGGAGATACACAGAGAAACCCTGACTTGAAAAATCAAATATAAATAAATAAATGATTGATTTCTAAAAGAAATGCCTTAAAGGCTCCCAGATAAAAGCTATATGCGCACTGAACTGCACAGCTGAAGTTCAGTCTCATCACAAAGTAAAACCTGCAGCTCCCAGGTACCTGAACACATGGCGACTCTTAGGCTAGGGAAGACATGCAAGCTGTACCCCCTCACCCCTGTGGGGGGGGTGGCCTCACTCTGTAGTTCTGCTCCTTCCTCCCTTATTCCTTGCTAAACTGGTTGTCACGCATGCTGAAAAAGCCAAAGGTCAGAGCTCAAGGTAACTTGTGATTGGCACAGTAATTTCTAGCCACATTCTGCTGATCAGCCACCCGTGTCCAAAGGCACATTATCTACACGGAAGCCACATAAATGATGAAGGAGGAGAACTAAACAGCACAACACCATCAGCACTTTCTAGGAAGAGGGATTCACGGTGTAGCTTAGGTTGCCCTCCCACTCTTTGTTGTATGTGTTGTATGTGGGTGGGGTACATGTGCACATGTATGCCTTTGAGTGTGGAGGCCCCATGTTGACATCAGGTGTCCTCAATCACTTCCACTGTATATACTGAAACCAGTTCTCTCCCAAACCCTGAACCCACTTTTTAGGTTGGTGTGAACAGCCAGTTTACTCCCAGGATCTGTCTCCTATGCAGCAAGCACAAGCCCTCCCTACTTCCTTACATGGGTTCTAGCAATCAGTCAGAACTCTGGTCCTCAATCTTGCATTGCAAATGATTTACGCTCCCAGCCACCTCCCTAGTCGACCTCCCACTCTTGATTCTGCTTCCACGATCCCCATGCTGAGATCACAGCAGTGTCCCACCATGCCGGACTCCTTACCAACTTTAAATCCATTTCTATCACCCATTACTAAACAGATGAGGACAGTCATTGGTCCAGTTAAACAGAAAAGATCTAAGTAATAGTCAAACTCCTTTTAAAACATGATTTAAAAAACCTCAAACAGGAAAAAGCCTATCTTCCTAGTCATAAAGATATGATTCATGCCTCATTACAAGCTAACAAAAATTCAGATGAGGTGGCAAACACCTGTGATCAGGTGCTAGGAAGGCTGGGTCATGAACAATGGAATTCAAGGCCAGCAGGGCTATCACAGTGACACCTGTCTCAAAAAAAAAAACAAAAAAAAAAACAAAAAAAACCATATAAAAACTAATTAAAGGATTGGAGTAAACATGAAAAATTATTTTTAAAGTTGGTTTTTAAAAAGCCATACACCGGGCTGGAGAGGTGGCTCAGATGTTTAAGAGCACTGACTGCTCTTCCGGAGGTCCTGAGTTCAATTCCCAGCAACCACATGGTGGCTTACAACCATCTGTAATGAGGTCTGGTGCCCTCTTATGGCCTGCAGGCATACATGGAGGCTGAACACTGTGTACATAATAAATAAATATATCTTTAAAAAAAATAATAATAGCTCTTTTCCATCTTCCTCTCCGAGAGGCAGTTTCGCTTCTGCCTCTCTCCCCACTTCTCTGTCTCCCCCCCTCCTTCTCTGTCTCTTTCTCCTCTTCTCTCTCTCTCTCCCTCTCTCTCTGTCCCCCCTTCACCCTTCCTCCTCCATAACCCCCTGAATAAACATTCAACCTCAAAAAAAAAAAAAAAAAAAAAAAAAAAAAAAATAATAATAATAAAAAATAAAAAGCCATACACGGCCGGGTGGTGGTGGCGCACACCTTTAATCCCAGCACTCAGGGAGGCAGAGGCAGGCGGATCTCTGTGAGTTCAAGGCCAGCCTGGTCTACAAGAGCTAGTTCCAGGACAGGCTCCAAAGCCACAGAGAAACACTGTCTCGAAAAAACCAACCCCCCCCCCCAAAAAAAAACACGAAAAATCAAAAAAAAAAAAGCCATACACCAAACTTCATTTATAATAGTACTGAGGTTTTTTGTTTTGTTTTCTCCCCAATTGAGTATGTTTTTTTAGAGACAATTTCAAGTTTAGCTTCCCAGCCTCTGAATGAGATTGGATACATACATACATATATACACATCCATACACACACACACACCCGTGCACTGGGTAGGGCAAACTTAAGGTTAGCCCCGGCTACATAAAACCTTCATTCTTTAAAGGTCCATCGCCAGCTAACTAAAGTTTGGTTCTATGAATAGAAATATGCAAACTGTAAATAACTCACGGCACTGGCCCACCAACCTGCTGGTTTACCTGCTAAGTTAGCACTCGAGGACAAGGCGTGAGCGTGAGTATTGCCTTGGCCCTTGTGAAGCAAACCTCTAGGCAACTAAGAACGAAGACACTTCAGAAAGTCACAAAGAAAAAAGACTGCCACACTGTCCCAAGTGACATCACAAAAGCCATACACCAAGTTTCATTTATAATAGTACCGAGGTTTTTGTTTTGTTCTTTTTCACCCAACTGAACTTGACAATTTCAAGTTTGGCTTCCCAGCCTCTGAATGAGATTGGATACAAATGGGGAGCAGTTGCTCTTAGGAAAACAAAAAGGAGCAACAAGTAGTGAACACTGAAGACCGAGATCTACAGATTTCTAAATATGATCTACAGCCATATCAAAATTCCTTGATAGGTGACAGGCAGGTAGAGCTCTTCAATCCAGTTGGATAGTTGGAGCATGGCTTTCCCAAGACTAGCCTAAAGGTGCCTGTGATGAGGGACTTCCCGTTGTCCCTTTGAGCTCTACCACAGAAAACGGACGACAATCTTTGCATCACGGTATCTGCTTCTACGTGGTCGACCTTATCTACGAATTCTGCCTTAAAATTCTTGGATTAATTAAGGGGTGATTATCCCAACAAAACGAATCCCCATTTATTTTTACATTAACAAATTTTGTGTTTGCCTTTCACAAACATTAGTTCCTACACATAACAGAAATCACACGGCGTTTGTAGGGGTACAAACCCCCGATCCCCCACCCCAGGCTTCAGACAGTCTGAGCAGGTGGGGTTCTTCAGAGCCGGAGCGTGTCTTCAGCAGCTCTGACCGCTGGAAGAGTAAAACGGACCCCAATGTTAAGCTCCCTTTCAGAGCAAAGGCGGCAGACAGGGCGAGGACTGGCCCCAAGTCCCATGCCACGAACAGTCCGGTTCCTAGGCCATCCAGGACCCTGCCCGGCCGGAGCGCGGGCCACCATGCTTAGGCGCCGGGCTCCTGGGCAGGGGCGTCCCGGCCTCCGCGGTCTGCAGCCTCAAAGCGGTCCCCAGCCCTCCCTTCCTCCCGTCTGAGCCCCGGGTCGCCTCACCACACCGAAGCGATCCACGCTCCCCTCCAGGCGCGTCAGTCTCCCGGCCGGTCACAGCGCCGCATCCGGATCCGGCTGCAGCGCCAGCCCCACCCCCTCCCGTGCCCCCCCCGCGCCGCAGCCGTAACGGCCGGGCCAAACGTGGCAGGACCGGCGCCTCCGCCCTGCCCCGCCCCGCCCTCACGCACGAGCTGCGCGCGCGGAGGCCGAGCCACGCACACCATTCCCAGGCTCCGGGGGCGCGGGGAGAGGCGGGGCTGCGGGAGGGGCGGGGCTCCGGGGGCGCGGGGAGAGGCGGGGCTGCGGGAGGGGCGGGGCTCCGGGGGCGCGGGGAGAGGCGGGGCTGCGGGACAGCCGGGGCTGCGGGAGAGGCGGGGCTACGGGGGCGGGGCTACGGGGCTCCTTGACCACTCTGAGGTGCGTCACCAGTTTACTTACCTTTCAGGCGCGCCCCTGGCTAGGTGCAAGCTTGTGCCGCTCACGCCTTACCTGGAATAAATTCAAAGGAGTTTAAGCAGCGTCTTGCGATGCCCCCTGTGGGTTCCTTTGATTCTCAGAGCCCTAAGGCTCCTGCCTCATTAGTCCCCTCTGTCCTCTGTCCTCTCCCTTCACGTGCAGTCCGTTAATCAGGACTTCAGTTGCTTACTGGGGATCACGGCCTCTGATTCCCAAATGTCTGACACAGGGCTCTTCTAGAAACTTGAGTTGGGGTCACTCATCCATCCCCGTCTGGACTGTTCTTTTATTTCTGCATATCTTTATTTATTTATTTATTTTTATTGAGTCCCTCCACATTTCGATGACTGTCCAGAGGAGGCTGGGTCTCCTCTGCCTCCCAAATGCTGAGATTAAACGTGTGTGCCACCATGCCTGGTGAGCATGGTGGGCCCTCGCAAGTGCGGCACTTCATGATCTCAGGAGCATTTCAGCTCGCTCTGGGGAAGAAGTGGCGCTGGGTACTCCAGACAGTAATGGGCAGATGCGGAGGCCAGGCCTCTGAAGAAAGCATTTTACAGTGCGCCATACCCAGAGCTCTTGGCCTGTAATGTCAGTAGTGGGGAAACTGAGAAATACGGCTTATGAGAGGAAAGACTGCCCTTCTGTGGGCTCCCACCTCTGAAGTGTTTTTCCTAAGTAAAACAGAGATTGGAGCCCCTGCTTTTTTAGAAAGTCACACAAGTGATAACTCTTGTTAAAATTAGAAGGTATTTATTCTCAAGGCATAGGTTCAAAAGGCACAACGTCTTATTTCTTTTCTTTTTTTTTTTTTTGATTTTTCGAGACAGGGTTTCTCTGTAGCTTTTGGTTCCTGTCCTGGAACTAGCTCTTGTAGACCAGGCTGGCCTCGAACTCACAGAGATCCGCCTGCCTCTGCACCCGAGTGCTGGGATTAAAGGCGTGCGCCACCACCACCCAGCCACAACGTCTTATCAACAAGAGTTGTATTTTGCCGGGCGGTGGTGGCGCACGCCTTTAATCCCAGCACTCGGGTGCAGAGGCAGGCGGATCTCTGTGAGTTCGAGGCCAGCCTGGTCTACAAGAGCTAGTTCCAGGACAGGAACCAAAAAAAAAGCTACGGAGAAACCCTGTCTCAAAAATCAAAAAAAAAAAAAAAAAGAGTTGTATTTTCTCTCATTTTGAGATTTAAATTTAAAGGTTTTGTTGTGGTTGTTGTTGTTGCCAAGATTAGTCTTGGCTACTTGTGCCCTGTCTAAAGGCAAACAAGTACCTGGTATCGTGGCTCAGACTTTTAATTCCAGCACTAGAAAAGCAGAGGCAGACAGATCTCTGTGAGTTCGAGGCTAACCTGGTCTACACACAATGAGTGGACAGCGTAGTAACCATTGCGTTTTGACATTGCAGGCCACACTTCTCCAACACATTTTAACTTTCATTTTTAATGGTTCTCACTATTAATGCCTTTCCCTTTGGAAAATGTTGTGGGGACTTTAATAAAGGATGAAAATGTGTAAAATGGTAGCCTCTCCTAAACAAAATAATTCTTTGGGGAAAAATCCCCACCACCTTGGAACCAGAAACACGACGGCGTCCTCCTAATTACACCAAGAGCAGGAAAGTTGGAGATTTATCAGGCACGCCTAATGGATGAAATGCCTACAGTTCAGAGCCTGAGGCCATTAAGTGAAGGAGCAAAACAAATGCCATTTTGAAAAAGAACCCGGTTTAGACAGGACCTAACCAGAGGGGGTGAATGCAGTCCAGCAAAGTCATAAACATTCCCAAGAAACTGTGCTGTCCTGGTCAAAGTGACCCCCACAGGGTACCCAAACAACATCTGTTTACATCTGCTTGTTTCAAACATCCTTGTAGGCACCTGATTAACCACTGTTTTGCCCCTGCGTTTGGCACAGGGTCAGCAGATGTCTGGAGAATGTAACCAGGGAGGCTGTTGCTATCCCCTAGATACCAATAGCCTAACCTAAGCTAACGGCCTTCAGCTGTGACCTTGCCTTTAGCCAATTGTGGTACAGGCTAAATAATTTTGTGACTGTAACCTTGTGACTGCTTTGTGTAGACCAGGTCCTTCTCCCTCCATCTGCTGTGTCAGACTGTGAGGCAGAGGACCCTTGCTAGCCCGTACTTAATAAACGAAACCTTGCTTTTGCATTCAGAAGTGTGGCTCTGTGGTGGTCTTCTTGGGGGTCCTTAGACTCAGGCACAACATAAGGACAAGACTTTCATTCAGAAATACAGAAAAATCAAGATGGTAAGGTAAAATGGGGAGAGAGGAAGAATCAATGTTTTTTCTTAAATGCCAAACCTCTCCACTGACACAAATAATCCCAATCAGACCAAATTAAAAGGTGCCCAGGTTTAATAGAAGAGAATTCTCCCCGGGTGGATCCGGGAAAACATGGAGAGGGGAAGAGAGAGAAAGGGAGACCATGTGAAACCGGGACACCACGGGTAACCCAGAGACCATGTGTTCATTCTCTGGGGGCAGTTTAAATAGTCTGTAGGAGTGCTCTTGACCTTCCCTGGGGAGGGGACACCATGTGGCCAGCTTTCTCATAGGTGGAGTTTGGACTGAGGCAACTCCCAGAGGAGGGAGCTTATGTCAGGAGTTGGGGTGAAGCCCCCAACCAAATACTCCAGACCTTTTATATAAAGGGGTACCAGGGAGCTGAGGTGATGCTTCCAACCAAACATTCCAGACTTTTTGTATAAAGGGGTGCCAGCAAGCTGAGGTGAAGCCCCTCAACCAAACATGTCAGGCTACTTCTTGTGGACATGAGGTGACATGGGAGTGGGGAGAGCTGGGAGTTGGTGGGCTCATGCTCAGTTTACTGTCATCCTGGAGACCTCAGGCAGCTGTTTCTTGAGGGAGATGAAAAGGCAGGTGGCAATGGTGAAGTCCCTGCAGCTGGTGCAGGTATTGGCATTGTTGGGAGAGTACTTTTTAAGTTGGTCTTGGCTCAGACAGCAGAAGTGACTTGTAAAATATGCTTAAAATGGGTGGGATTAAAACAGGCTCTGGAGGCTGTTAGTTTTTACCAGGCCTGATTTTTTTAATAAATCAGCAGAACTTTTTTGGGAACTTCAGGTATCTGTAAGAGAACTGGAACAGGAACATTTTAGAAGACAGTTAAAGGGAATTGGAAAGTCTAAACCTCTGAAAATACACCTAAAACCTGTTAGTCCTGGACTATGAAGCCTGTTAAAGAGGCACACCTGTCTGTATTTTAGCAGGAAACTTAACAAATGAAGTAATGAGCTACCAGTACCTTAAGTCATCAAATGCCATTAGATAGAGCTAAGGGAGATAAATGAGCAGAAATAAGACAGCTTTTTTTAGTACCGCAGGCAATCCCAAGTCTCTCTGTAGTCTTTGAAGAACACCAGCCTTAGAAGCAGTGCTTGCTGTTAGCTGCTGAGTCCAAGGGGCCCAAAGATTTTCCTGTGGGGGGAAGATTTAGTCTGTCTTTGGTATGATGAGAAGATTGATTCCCCAGGTGTAGTATCCAGGAAGCTGAAGAGGTAGAAGGCCGCTTTTTGCTGTGTAGGTGGCTTTGCCAAAACCAAAGACAAGCTTCCAGGAAGAAGGTCTTTTGCAACCATATATCTTCTCAGAGGAGCTATAGGTTGCTGCAGGAGCTGGCACGTCTCTATGTTAGAAGCTCTTTTGTTAAATGCCATACTCAGCCGGGCGATGGTGGCGCATGCCTTTAATCCCAACACTCGGGAGGCAGAGGCAGGCGGATCTCTGAGAGTTCGAGACCAGCCTGGTCTACAGAGCTAGTTCCAGGACAGGCTCCAAAGCCACAGGGAAACCCTGTCTCGAAAAACCAAAATAAATAAATAAATAAATAAATAAATAATAAATAAATGTCATACTCTCCGATATGTAAAGGCACGTGAGAATTGGGTACTTGTTATATTTAAACTAGACATAGAAGTTAAATTTAGACATCTATTTTACCCAATTAGTTACAGCTTACCAATGCTAGTAAATGTAAGAAGATTAAAAGGAATATTTCAATAAGTCAAAGAATACTAGCACATGTGGGTACTCTTACCCAAGATGGTGGTACAGTCAAAATAGAGGTTGCCCACGTGTTTGTATTTTTCCAGAGCTGTTGTAATCAGGAGCTACAGATTAAGCCTTACAGATCTTAAAACATGCACACGTACACATGGAGAAATGAGACGAGCATACTGTGAAATCAAACACACACACTCACAGAGACATAAAACAAGCGTACTGTGGAAACACACCCCCATACTCACACAGACATAAAACAAGCACACTGTGGCCACATTATTTTAACAGACGGACAAATAAAACTCTTTTAGGAGCCTGTGTCAGCTGACCAACCTAAAAATCCAGGTGTAGGCAGGTGGCAGAAGCCAGGGAAGCACAGAGGTGGTCCCGTTAAGATCTGTATTAGCAGACGCTGCAAGAGGGAACAAAAACAAAGAATGGAAGAACTATACGGTTTTAGAGAGGAAGGACAGGGGAAACAGATCCGATCCAATGTAGAGAAAAAACAGCGAGAGACAAACAGCCGGAGAAGCGGGGAGGGGAGTGGGGAATAGGAGTGGGGGTGGGAGCATGCATCCAGAAAA